CGTTTCTACTCCTTTCCTCGTTCCTGTTTCGCCAACCTGAATTTTCATGTCTACCCCCGTCGCGATTTCCATTTCTAGCCTCTCTATACGTCTCAAATAATCCTCTATATCCTCGACCGATTTATATCGCAAATTTATCAAACCTCTACGTATATCCGGTGGGAAATGTGCAATACGCATTTCTAACAATTCCTTTTTTCTAGAGGTTTCGACAACTATTGCGATTCTCGGATTATTTTCAAGAAATAATCGGCTCGTGATCCCCCCTCGTACTCCGTACCTAATATGACTAAGCATCTCTCTTCTCTCTCTTTGTCAGATGACCAACATCTTTTTATAAATTCCTCCTAGAAATGGGGATAAGAGCAAAACGCTTTTATTTCTGCCCAATCCAAAGCTGAACCTTTTAAGCAGTTTAAGGCAAAATACAGACGTTTCTCATCGGGTACGCCAGCCTCGTCAAGCAACGCCGATAATTTTCTGATAAAAACAACGGGGTGCAACGGCCCGTTTGGAGCAAAGTGTAAACTTGAACCCCCTAAATCTTTCCACATTGTGATATAAACCTTAGGCGCGATGCCACTGGTAGGAATCTGAGTATCATTAGTTGTTGCCTGTGCATAAAACTGTTCAGGTACAGGCGCCGTAATATCTATTTTTTAGATAAATCGTTCAGTTTTTGGTCTAATATCATCATATTGCTACTCAAATTTGATGACATTGACTGTACCATCGAGTCCATAACCTTACTTAAATTAACATTCAAATTATCAAAAGATTTAACTAAGCAATCCTGTATTTCATCGATAGGATCCTCTACTCGAGTTCCTTCTATTTCCTCAGCCATGCTGGAATTTTGGCCCTTGTTGACCTTTTTACTCATTTTGACTAACTATAGTTCAAGAAAACTACACAAAATACATCAAAGCCTAAGCTAACTACAAGCTACAAAGTAACAATTATTACTGAAGCCAAAGACCACAGTGTACTATTTATTCTTCAGAATCTATAGTTCAAATTCACTTTAGTGTCTTTGGACAACTGGCACAAAAATCTGGATACAAACTAGATAGTAGATAAACAGGAAGGCCTCTGCCTCTCGGTGCAATCAGCAACTCAAAATAAATGGAATGGGCTCAACCATATAACGTGGTATTTTAAATACCCTTCCTCCTCCGTCCTGCACTACCACTGGGTTGTCTCAAAACTTTTTCGGACCTGCTGATCATGACCCCGTGCCTCGAACGAAGAGATACGTTGAAAACTCGCCGATGCAGATGGTTGGATAGCTCAAATCAACCGATATTAATGTTTAATTTATTTTTCCTTTACACTCCGTCGCGAATATTATTTACTAGAGATGATCAAAGTTGCGATTTTGTGATCGCAGTTAAAACTGCGATTGCGATTTACCACTCACTGCGAGTGCAACCTGTGATTGTGATTTGAAATTGTGGGACTGTGTTATTTCATTATTTCCCTTCTATAAAAGGTTAATTACATTAAATTGGTCATATTTATGTGTTATGTGTTAACAACTGTTATCATAAAATATGAAATAACATTGTATTTGTGTTATAAAGGTTAGGAGAAATGATAATACCTTTTTTTTAAATCTTATAATTCCAAATCTGTAGATTTTATTAAAAATGAAAACAAATGTCTCTTATAATTATAATTTTAATTAGAAGAATGCAAAAACTAAACCCAACAGGTAATATGTTAAACTGCAAACATTTCTTCTCAAGAACTTAACAAGGTTGGTTTATTTGCAGCTACAGCTACAGCTGGGTGTGACTCCATATGTCTTCTCAAATTCGTGGTACTACTCATAAGACTTGGTTGCACACATATTACATTTTGCGAAATTTTCGTCGATTTCGGAAAAAAAATTCCACAAATAACTTATTTTCCTCTTTTTAAACATTGTTGAAACTGAATAAAATAATACTGGCTAGTCAAACAAAAAAACAACCTAGAGATTGAAAATAGAAACCACCAACACCAATTCTAACAATTCGCATTCGCAGCTCGCAACAGTCACAACTCACAACCATATAAAAGCAACGCCATCCGCTCGTTCTTACTCGCCAATCGCCACTCGCATGTGTCACTCCCAAAGCGATTGCCGCGATTGTACGGTTAGGTTGGTTGCATGCCTACCGGCTCACGCGAACCCACCAGCTCGCAACTCGCAGTTTGCTACGGGACGGGCTCGCAGGTTGCGATTGCGATTGTATAATCGCTGCGAATAAATCGCAGTTCGCGAGTTTTTGCTCTTCTCTATTATTTACGTCTCGCCGTGACTCTAGTTGGGCGCCATTGTAACATTCCTCAGGTGTTCCTGGGGAGACTCTTTATCATCAAGGGTCAGGTAACGGCTGAGACAATAACAGCACGATTAAGTTGTGAGACACTGTATTCAATGAACCCCTAAAGATATAAACGTATTGGAAATAGGAAATCTTAATTCCCTATTTATAGAATTAATTAAACTTAAAGTATGTAGCCGCCTTCTGACGCGCGCGACCCGCTCACCCTCTTGCTCGCACTCCGTTCGTCAGTCCCCCTCTTTCACCTTCTTGTCCCGCGGGTAACGTCGACCGCGCACTGTTGCCGCTACCACCTATTTATCCACAACTCCACCACTAACTTAAACCTAGTCTGTCACAATACCTATCAAGTCATGAAGCTTTGTGAAATTTCCGGGCCCTAGATGTGAGAGTGGTTCGGTCAGAAGATGCGCTCAAAGTTTAGATGTTCGGCAAAGATGTGAATTTTAGTGTTTTTGCACGTTTCAATTTTCTCGCTAATCCTGTTATTAAAAAATATTAGGCCCAATAATATATGACGATTTCGTTGTAAGTTGCCCATGGAAGTCAAAAATGGCTTCTACAATTCAATATGATAATTTGTTCAGCAGTCACTATGGCTAATTATTTTTTTCGGTAAAGCCAATGAACCAGCCTAACCGTTTATATGAATGGAATTTAGTATTGGTTAGATGGGTCTTGGGATCAAATTTTTGACATTTTGAATCAAAACTAGCTATTTTCATGATATTGGAGGGCGGATCATGTCGGGCTCAAATTTGTCTTGCGAACAGAACCTATGGCATAAGACTTTGTCAAATCTGAAACTCCTGGATCGAACACTTGGCTCTGGAGACGTATTCAAAGCTCTAAGTTTCGGGAAACAACAACAATTTTACTTCGGAATAGTCACATAATGCTTTTCTGAAACTTTAAGCGCGTTTCCAGGGCTATCCGTTGGACCTAGGAATTTGAGATTATACTAAAGTTCATGCGTCCATAGGTTCTCTCTGACAATCAACAAATTGAGTCCTATATGAGTTATGACCCGCCATTCAGCATCATTAAAATGGCCAATTCTGGTTCAAATTGTCCAAAATTGAACCCAGATACCTATCCGACCTATTTAAAGGCCTGGTCACAAAGTTCCATTCATATTGCGGGATAAGGTGCTCCATCTCGACGAAAAAAATGAATTTTGTGTTCTGGAAGGCATTCTAATTGTCAGCCCAATAAAGAAAATTAAATTTTGAAATATCTACCGAACGAATTATCATATCGCAATTTGAAGACCATTTTTTACTTCCCTGGACAATGTTACTTAGGAATTGTCATATATTGTGGGGACTAAAACTTTCCAATGACAGGAGCGTCGCGAAAGGCCAAGTTGTGGAATTTTTGTTTTGACATAAAACAACTGATTAAAAGAAAAAACGGTGTAGAATGGAGCGAAGACCGTTGTCAGCAATATTACTACATCGGTACCACAATGATGGGATCAATAGTTTGTGAGAGGTGTATCATAGGAGCAAGGTATGCCCTATTTAGTATATGCGACGGATATGTGTGTAAGTTGCCCATGGAAGTCAAAAATGGCTTCTACAATTCAATATGATAATTTGTTCAGCAGTCACTATGGCTAATTATTTTTTTCGTTAAAGCCAATGAACCAGCCTAACCGTTCATATGAATGGAATTTAGTATTGGTTAGATGGGTCTTGGGATCAAATTTTTGACATTTTGAATCAAAACTAGCTATTTTCATGATATTGGAGGGCGGATCATGTCGGGCTCAAATTTGTCTTGCGAACAGAACCTATGGCATAAGACTTTGTCAAATCTGAAACTCCTGGATCGAACACTTGGCTCTGGAGACGTGTTCAAAGCTCTAAGTTTCGGGAAACAACAACAATTTTACTTCGGAATAGTCACATATTGCGAGACAGGAAATGGAAATGCTTTTCTGAAACTTTAAGCGCGTTTCCAGGGCTATCCGTTGGACCTAGGAATTTGAGATTATACTAAAGTTCATGCGTCCATAGGTTCTCTCTGACAATCAACAAATTGAGTCCTATATGAGTTATGACCCGCTATTCAGCATCATTAAAATGGCCAATTCTGGTTCAAATTATCCAAAATTGAACCCAGATACCTATCCGACCTATTTAAAGGCCTGGTCACAAAGTTCCATTCATATTGCGGGATAAGGTGCTCCATCTCGATGAAAAAAATGAATTTTTTGTTCTGGAAGGCATTCTAATTGTCAGCCCAATAAAAAAAATTAAATTTTGAAATATCTACCGAACGAATTATCATATCGCAATTTGAAGACCATTTTTTACTTCCCTGGACAATGTTACTTAGGAATTGTCATATATTGTGGGGACTAATGCTTTCCAATGACAGGAGCGTCGCGAAAGGCCAAGTTGTGGAATTTTTGTTTTGACATAAAACAACTGATTAAAAGAAAAAACGGTGTAGAATGGAGCGAAGACCGTTGTCAGCAATATTACTACATCGGTACCACAATGATGGGATCAATAGTTTGTGAGAGGTGTATCATAGGAGCAAGGTATGCCCTATTTAGTATATGCGACGGATATGTGAATAAGCTCCACATACATAGTAAGAACTTAGCAAAGTGTTTGTACTGCGAAAGGCGAATAGCATCGAATTGTATAAATAAGTATGACAACATTCCGTTGGGAGGCAAATATCTGTATTGCAGCCGAACAAAGAAAATGTGAAAGTTAGGAGGAAAAGGAGATCGAGTGTGAAGGTAAGTGAAGGAAAACAAATGTGTGGATAAGTTGAGAGAATAATGAGTGTAAGGTTGTAGAAGCAAAACAGATAGCTGAAAAATTCAAAAATCGGTCATTTAAGAGAAATTAGAGTGAAAAACGTGAATTGGGTTGGGTGTTATTATCTCAAAGCTAATATACTTTGCAGAATCCTTAAAACCTACAACCTTACAAATAAAATCTTAAAACTAAATCCTTAAGGCTGACACCTTAAAACTAATACACATTAGGGGCTGAAATACCCCGAATCGCTGGATGGATCGTCCAGATCCCACACGAGATTGTCATCCTGAAAAGCTTCAGGAATGGCAACCTCAAGTGGGTCGTCAAGAGGAGCAAGGCCGACGTGGAGCTCATCAAGCTCGACCTCAGAATCGCTCTCGGACGAAGATGCCTCCCCCGCGCGCTCCCTCTCATCTTCGTCGGCAGACTCGATGTCGACAACGTCGTCTAACAAAGCATTGCCATCATCGGGTGCAGCACCTCCCGCAATTACGGCAGAGGCTGTGCTGTCGAAGAGGAGTGGACTGTCCAAGCCATCTTCATGGAAGATATACAGATCATCTGGATCCTGACCATCCCTGACGATGACTGGGGAGCGACGGAATGGAAAGACGACTATAGTGTATAAGGATGCTCTCCTCCTCCGTCACAAGGTCGGGAGAATTCGAGGTCATAATGCTATAACGGACAAAGAAAGTATGGGTGGGTAGTAATATTCTTAAGGATGAAAGTCGAGGTCACGAAATTAGCATTGGATAATAACTGTAAAACTTAAACGCGATCAGTAAACAATGAAGTAATAAATCTTGACTGTTAATTCATGCTAGAAATCGAATCGTGAAAGTCGAACGGCAAAATCCGTGAAAGTGAGGTAGGAGGTTGAAAGCATCAGTCTTTAACATTGTGTTCTTTGTTCAATTATAGACATGTGTGCAAGACCGTGTCTGTGTACCTTGGAGAAGAAGTGCCCGTACTGCGCATTTACGAACAGTCAGCGCCTGATTCTGGACAAACTGTTAATGCCCGTGTACGGGTATTGCAAAATGTTCAAGTTGTACCACCACGCGAAACCGTTGACACTTTGCTGAACGGGCACCCGCAAATGATGGCTAGTACTTCGGGGAATGATGAGTTATCCATCGAAATTGTTAGCATGGGCTCGCAAACCATGCTTAACAATTACATCGCCCAAAGTCAACAGAACTCCTCAAATGAGATCGATATTGAGGCAGTGTTAACATTCATCAATCCGGACATTGATATGTCTACAACGATGAATGCATACAATGCTTGGCCATCGTTTGAGATGAGTTTGTTGGGAGCTCAGCCAATGCCATCCATGTCGAGAGCCACCTCAACACAGCAAGAGCCATCGTTGTCTGCCGCGATCGCGATTGATCGATGTGATGTGGACGATGCACTATATCCCGACACCTACATCGAAGAGTTGCCGTTTACGCAACCTGAACGGGACGCGACAGAGCGTTGTGTTGTGAATGAGCAATTCAATCGCGACACGTGGATCGAAGAGTTGCCGTTCACGCTACTTGAACGGGACGCGACAGAACGTATATATTTATATATATATATATATATATATATAAATGTTTTAGGGGTTACAAAATGTTCCAAAGTCCAAAATGCCAAAGGACCTTCATGGCGAGGAAAAGTTTGTTGAGACACTGTAGAGAGCGGTGCAGCCAAGATGGGGAGCCCGCATCCAAGCGTCCATGTAATGCAACCGATTCACGCAGCACTGCAGACAAGTGGGAATGTCCTCGGCACGAAAAGGTTTACTGCAACATGGTAGAGAGGTCTGCACAAACGAGAAGAGTCCACCCGAACAACAACGTGTAGAAAGTAAGGTTACAAACAACTAAGCCAAATTAAATAACTTATATTTATGAACTTATTATTACAGCTAGCATCACCCAGACCACCACAGTACTCAATACCAGACGACTGGATCCTTCAACAGCCGAGGTTGTAGTACCGGGACCGAGTCGAATGAGTCCAACCACCAGCAACGACTCACAGACGAGTGCGGAAAGCAGAACAATTCGCTGTGATAGTTGCAACTGTGAGGTACCGAGGAATGCACATGCAGCACATCGGAAAGGCATCAAACATAAGGCACATCTATGGACACCATTACACAATAATGTGTCAGTATGTCGAAGTGAATTTCGGGGTAGAATAGTCAGTTATCAAATAACCGCTAGTATAGACACTTTGAACGTTACTGAATATATGAATAATCTCGAACATGACTCCATAAACGTGAAAATGGATTGCATAAGCAAACAACGCTCAAAATAAATATGGAACTTTTTGGTTTATATATCTTACCAGCTAAAATCCGACGAGAAGTGAAGTCCCACAATACAAACAATGTAATCATAACACAATCATCAAATTTAAAAGCAATCTATCATGATTTGGGAAGTAAAATAGAACAAAAATCTAAAGATTTTACAAAAAAAGACTCAGGGTGGGTGTTAGAAAAGATTTTATATTTAGAAATTAATATTAATAAATATAATCCTTTGAGAGCAGCATCATATTTGTCGCTTCCAAAGGAAATTAGGAACAAAAAATCTGTACTCAATATACGTAATAAGGATAAGTACTGCTTTGCATGGCCAATTGTAGCTGGTACGGTAAAACCAAAAGGTCGATCATCACTAACAACGTCATATCCACATTTTTCGAATGTTCCGGGCTTAAATTTTGCTGGAATGACATTTCCAGTCGCTCTCAAGTCAATATCAGAATTTGAAAGCGTGAATAACATATCATTGAACGTTTATGGATTAGAAAAGGAATTCATTGATGGGAAGCCTAAATATCAGGTGGTAGGACCGTTACATTACACCGCGCAAAAACAACATACTTATCTGAACTTATTACTTATTGATGATTCAGAAGGAAACCATCATTACTGCTTAATTACCAACTTTTCAAGACTCGTTTCAAGTCAGTTGTCGCGGAATACGAGAGTAAAGCACTTTTGTGATGGGTGTTTACAATACTTTGCCTCAAAAGAAAAATTAGAAATTGACATGCGAACCTATTGCAAATATATTTCATTTAAGCTCCCAAAATTGGAAACGATGGTTCATCGACTGGGAAGCACGGTAATGGATAATGTACTAAAATTTTAACAGCATCACAAACAATTAAGGCTACCATTTTGCGTGTATGCCGACTTTGAATGCATTCTAGCTCGGATAGAAAATGACTCAAGCGATTCAGAGGATGTATGTACCATCAGAAAGTGTGAACATAAAACATCCTCATTTGCTTATTACATCAAATGCTCATTTAATGATTCACTATCCAAATTAGAACTATATAGGGGTGAGGATGCAGCACAAATTTTTGTTACTCGATCAGAGGCTGATCTTAAATTAATATATTATCAATATTCAACACAAAATGTAGAAATGAAAATGACTACGTACGATAAAGCTTCGTTTAATAAAGCAAAGTCAGGTTTCATTTGTGAACAACCATTCACCAATACAAATATAAAAGTTATGGTTCACTGTCATTTCACAGGGAAATATCGTGGTGCGGCGCATAGTAAATGCAATCTCAATTATAAGACTCCGACCTATATTCCAATATTTTTCCACAATCTGAAGAACTATGATGCTCATCTATTCATAAAACACTTACCTATGAATCAAGAACAAATTAAAGTGATTCCACAATCCTTTGAAGGATATGTTTGGGTCATTTACGAAATTAGTACCGGTAGACACGTACATTTCCCAAGAGGGAAAACAAAAAACCGTATTTTTGCAAATGAGATGTGTCGATCTATATCAGTTTCTTTCGTCAAAATTAGAAACATTGGCATCCTTTTTAAGCGCAGAGCAATGTCGGACAGTACGAAAAGTATTTCCCGAGGACGAAAGATTCTCCTACATGAGATGTAAATGTATATTTCTCTATACATATCTTATAACATTTGATAAAGACAATGAAACATGTTTACCATCCCAACAAGACTTTTATGACGAAATACGTGATGAACACATTGCAGACGAGGAGTATGAGCGGGCACGTCATGTTTGGGAAGTAATGAGGTGTAAAAATTTGGGGGAATACTCGGACTTTTAGTTGACTTCGGATGTTCTTCTTTTAACAGATATCTTAGAGATTTGTGTTTAAAAACGTACAAGCTGGATCCAGCACACTATTTTACAGCCCCTGGTTTGAGTTGGGATGCAATGCTACGATATACTAAAGTTAGAGCTGCTTACAGATGTGGATATGGTACATTTTTTTAAAAAGGGGATCCGCGGAGGAGTGAGCACATGTACCTCACGGAAAGTCGAGGCGAACAATAAATTTTTACCTCATTCCGATCCACCAAAGGCATCATCGTACTTAATGTACCTTGATGTGCAGAATTTGTATGGATATACTATGCAGCAGTACCTACCGACGGGTCATTTTGCTTGGTTAACGCAACATGAGATGGATAGGATTCAAGAAACGATTACACAAATTTCAGATACATCGTATATTGGATTTGCATTAGAAGTTGATTTAACAATACCGAATGAGCTTCATGATTATTTCAATGATTTACCATTTTGTACAGAAAATTTTAAACCACCTAACAGTCAAAGCTCAAAATTAATTCCAAATTTACACAACAAAGAGTGCTACATTATCCATTATCGTAATCTAAAACAATGTTTGAACATGGTATTATCTTGACGAAAATTCATAGAGGTATCAAATTCACACAAGCAGCGTGGTTAAAGTCCTATATATTGTTAAACACGGCACTTAGAAATCCAGCACTGAATTCGTTTGAAATAGATTTGTTCAAACTAATGATCAAAACACAGTAGGTGCTGAAAATTATATTAGTAAACCAACTTTTAAAGAACACAGAATATTTTCTGAAAACTTAGTAGCTATTCAAATGGAAAAACAATGATTGATTATTGCCGTCCCACATATGTTGGATTTTGTATTTTAGATGTCTCAAAAACGGTAATATATGACTTTTTCTATGACTTTCTGAAGTACCAATATAGTGATAACGTGTCGTTAGCATACACGGGCACGGATTCGTTAATAGTACATGTTGAAACCGATAATTTCTATGAAGACATGAAATCACACATGCATTACTTTGACATATCCTATTATGATGCTGACAACCCACATAACATGCCTCGAACAGCGTCAGAGTTGGGTAAGATGAAAGACGAATATGATGGTAAAGTACTGGGTGCCTTTTATGGTACAGGTCTCAAAGCATACTGTATCGATGCTGTAGATCAAGTGGCTAAACGAGCCAAAGGTATATCTAAGGCGAGTGTGAAACATCAATTACATTTGTTACCTTATAAGGATATTGTTGAGGAGAAACGGACATTTGTGTACTGTACGATTTATGTATTTAAATCGGAGTCGCACAATATATAAACAAATTATATAAGAAAAGTGGATGATAAACGTTTCTTGATACCAAACTCAACAGAGACATTAGCTTGGGGTCATCAAGATATCACCTTTCATAACATGTCGGACGAAGAGCGGTTGGACCTCTTGCTGCGCTTAATGAACGACGCCAGTGAGTTGACTAGTGATCAGATGAAATGATCAGAAATGAGAGCTTTGTGGTGGGGACAAGAATATATATATATATATATATAAATCGCATATCTGGCTGAATGTGCATCACTGACGAGTCTAATTGATGTGATACAGTAGCATGATATTAGATATTAGAAAATAAGATAAGACATTATACTGTATTTAAATGGTTAAAGAAAAACGTAGCCAAAGGTAACATCGGAGATAAGTCACTAGGATGGAGTTCTAGACCATGTGGTGTGAAATGGCCATCCACCAAATTTGAAGATTATGTTGCATGGTTGAGTGACTTATGCGATTTATCCAAAACGCAATAATCCTTACTGTGTTGTATAATAGAAATATATCATAAATAAATATATCTTCATGAATGGTAGTATCATTTTCCATTGCGCCTTCGCCAATTTTTGGGAGGGGAGTGTTTGTGAATGGAGGGAGTATCGACACTGTATAAAAGTAGCTACTCAGCATCACATACCAGTCTTCTACATTTCACAGAGTGTTATACAACATGAGTAGTGCCGGTGGTGTCAAACACGTTGCAAATGTGCAGAACGACAAGGGGGTACGATCTGTACAAGGTGGCGTAGCTCAGCTACCGTTAATTGTCATCCAGGAGCAACGCTATCATCTAAATCCATCTCAATCAAAATGGATCACGATTAGGCGAGCATATCAGTGGAGCTTCCAATCTGTAATCAATATCAAGGGTTTAAAAACCGAGGGCGTTACGTTAAATGAAGAAGACTGGTATGAAGTATTCAATCAAGAAGGCATTATAACCGTTTTTTTTCTTCAGTAATGATATTTTCCATCCGATGAAAGGTAAATCTTTCTGTATCAGCTTTGATAGATATCCAGATTTTCAAACCATCAAAATTGAAGATCGGTGGAGTTACGTAGTTTAAAGAGACCGTATTGAAGTTATTTCAATTAGCCCCGATTGCCTATACGATGAATATGCTAAAAACTCAAGAGTTCCAAAAATATTTTTCCACACTCGTCCAGGATGTACAAACCAAGCACATAGATGTGCGAGACTTCATTTTGCAACACATCTCTGATTTGCCGCATTCGGAGAACATCAGGACTGCTATGGAACTGGCATACCAATATCCAAACTTGAAGGAATTCATCAAGGCTCCAACTCCTAACTATTCTCAGTATATTTGTAATAAAAAACTCATATTACGTAGAGTGTTTTATTGAAAAAAGTTTGCTATAGAAATCATTGGAGAAAATAGAGGTACATTTGTCATACAAGTAAATCACTTTTTTTAATCCACGAATTATAGCTGCTATCCAGTCCTAAGTACTTGACCAGCACTTTATTGCCTTTACGTCGAACCACCTTCTCCACAAGATAGATGTTTGGATACTTGACTTTTTGAAGCTCTTCAGCATGAAATCCGTCTAGTATCTCGTCACTACGCCAATCTGCCAATAAGTATGATGTAGGATTGGTATACTGTACTTTACGAATTGTAAAAATTTCATTGGACCAATTAGGAGTGTATCCTTTAGCAAATGCTGTTCTATGTTTGCTTATGCGGACATGATCCCCAGTTTGATATTTTACACCCTTTGGATCTACCGGTTTCAAATGTGTATAAACCGTATTCAATAATGTTTTTTCTGTACGTTTGCTTACGTCTTTGGGTTTGATTCCAATTGTACTGTGTTTGGTGTTATTATACCCGTCAACGACTGACCATAGGATATCTAGCCATTTGTACAATCCCTGAAGTCTGAACTGCTTCCACGTACGATTCTTTAAAGTCCGATTCACCCTTTCAACTACACTTGCATTGGTCGATGACTAGGTGCTGTAATAATTAATTTTGTGTTCTTCCATCAACTTCGTAAAATCATTATTGTAGAATTCTTTACCCAAGTCTATTTGTAAATTTTTTGGAATTGACAGAATCGCCCTCATTGCAGTTGTAACATCTTTTCCGGTTTTTCGTTTGACTGGTTCTGCCCACACAAATTTACTAAAAACGTTGATGACAATTAAAATATATCGGAATCCTTTGTTCACTTTCTGATACGGAAGCATTTCCACCTGTACGTTTGAATGAGTGTGTTCGTCGTAACTAACTCTTACGAGGTGGAGGTTTCTCAAAGGAGCCGGATCTGAGTATGCCCTGCTGCTTTAGAATGTTATGCTGATGTAAGTATGGTCGAATTATATTTCGATATTTGTAGGGCGTACTACCCTGTATTTGAGTATTATGTTCAAAATGTCTGCGATATACATTTGTAACATATCCATATATTGATCTAGATCACTCTGCTTATAACCACTTCAACATATTTTCGAGGTACAGGGTGAAAGCCTTCAAGATACTCTTGATATGCAGGTGTATCAATTAGTTGGTGTAATTCTTGCGACACTCGAGCCACGCTTTCATTGATTTGCTGGTTTTCTGACTCCAACACCGCAGCATTTGGAGTAAATTCTTCCACGGTAGATACATCTTGACTGCGATTTGGATCCGGAAGGTTTGAATATATATCCTCGAGAAAGCTGTAGTTGACAGGTGGTAAATATCGTTGGTATAAATTTGCTGACAATTCTTTATTGAATGATTGTCGTTTTTTCGGTGTGGATATCACTGATGGGGGAGTATATTGTTCTTCTTTGATCTGCAATTCTTGTTTAGGTCCTTCGAGAGTTTTTGCAACGGTTCTGAGGTCGGCTTAAACTGTTGCTGTAATTCCCTTTCCGTTGCTGCAATATCTGATTTAAGTGTGAGATACTTTTGTTTAACCGCTTTCCTGGTTTTGACTAGTTCTTTGGCCAGTTTTGGATCCATCTGTCTACCTTCGATGTTATATAAGTACTACCCTAAGATTTGCACAGAGTATAGTTATATATATATATATATATATATATATATATATATATATATTACTGTTACAAACTTATGTTGCTGCTAAAACACTTTCTATACCTGCCTCCCTGTCTTGGAGAATCTTTATCAACCACTACAAAGCTATGTGGCTCTTGCCAACACAAACTGCACAAGCTTTTAAATTCGTGAATGACATGTCTAGACTGACATGATCATCATAGATATGTTTCAGATTCAAATTGTCTTGAGGAAATAGTATGAGTAGGTTTATATTATCCTTTAAATTATGTTTGGGTGCGGCAGTATACGTTTGCCAAAGATAGAAACAGTCTGTATTACGATGTCGTCCAAAACTGAAATATTGTCTTACTATATCCTGATTACATGATAAAACGTCGTCAAAAATTATTACGGAGTTTGGTTTAATGTTTTCTGGTGTCGCAATGTTTTCATCTTCACTGTATTCATAATACCCTATTTCGCGAAACGGTATTAGTAGTTCTCGTAAATATTTGTACTTGGGTTGGTACCGCGACTTGGAATACAGATAAACGTTCTCAAATCTCAATCCATTCGGATGTGTTAACAAACTGATCATTACATTATTTTTCCAGATCCGCTTGGGCCTAGAACTAACGCGCGCTTAGACGTACCATTGAATAGGTTACCATGTTTTCTAAGCGCACCTTCCTGTGCAAGTCCACCAAAATTCGTCACAGGTACTTGTACGGCTGATGGTTCGATCTTCATTCTGATAGCCTATAAATTGTACTGACATCAATACTTCTAGCACAGTCTACTATATATCTGAGAACCGTTACTTGATAGAAGCATATAAAATGACTGCATTCCGTGCGAGGAGAAACAGCACAAACCGACCGTACGGTACGGTTGGTACGGGTTTCATAAATAAACTTATCATTCAGAGAGGTGATACCGAAACTAATCGCTTAGACGAGGCCTGTAAGCAGCACAATCTTATTTATGCTACCTCGAAACAAAGTGACATTCGACGTAAAGCGGATAACCTCTTAATTGATCACGCCCTCAAGCGGGTTGCTGCATTGGATTCATAGCTTGGTGAAAAAGTAGCTGCACTGGGTGTCTCAGCCGTCATGAAGATGAAGCAGAAATTGGGTAGTTTCATGAGTCGAAAAAAGTTTTCTTCTCGTATTCGAAAATCACAACGCATTGTAGGATTGCGAAAAAAAAGTAATAAGCGGACAAGGTCTCCGTAAAAAACGACGCATCACAAAAAAGTCGAGACTTTTACCGATACCTAAAAAAGGGGGATTCTTACCTATCCTCCTTCCTCTCTTGGTGCGCTAGGTGCACTTGGGGGTGGAGCGGCGTCAATTACCCAAGCAGTCTCGAATGCGAAAACCAATCAGGCTCAGCTGGCTGAACAAAAACGTCACAACTTAGCGTTAGAACAATCTAAAAAAGGAAAAGGGTTATATTTGGCACCTTATAAAAAAACTGCTAAAAAAACCCTCGTCATGCTCTTACTAATATAGAGTCACTTCAATTGGCTAAACAACTGGGAATTCCAAAATTTATGGGAGTTTTTATGAGAGATGATTTACCGCATCGAATTCGAGCTAAAGAATGCGGTATTATTAATGTAGATAATTCATCAGGTGTTGGATGCCACTGGACTGCATATGTAAAAAACAACAATCATGTCACATACTTTGATTCATATGGTAATTTACGTCCCCCCATAGAAGCTGTGCATTATTTTCGCAGCAATCATGATGTCTCTGATATTGAATACAATTATGAGTCCATTCAATCATTCAACTCACATAATTGAGGTCAGCTGTGTTTGCGTTTCCTATATAAAGCTAGTGCAAGGTTCAATCAATGAATATTATCGTCTACCTTTCAACGCATACATCATGTCGATTACATTTACCCTTTCTGACAATTCTTCTACGCTTCAAGCTGACTTCAATCCTCCAATCTATCTTTCAGATGATGATGCTTATAAAATTGGGTTGTGTGATTTTGAATCCTTCATTGTCATTCCTAATGTTGATGCTTCCAACAATACTTTTATATATTCTACATCTTCAATTGCCAGTTATCACCAATTGTTTAAACTTCCTATCGGTTCCTATGAAATTTCAGAGTTGGCTACCGCCTTACAACAAAAACTTCCATCAGGACTGCCAACAAAACTGCATCCAACGTTACTTTACAAGCCAATTGTGACATCGATTTTTCTTCAAAAAATACTATTGGTCGCATGTTGGGCTTTGAACCCCTAATTTTTCAAAAAAATATACTGCATGAGTCCGATGTCGCAATAGAAATATTAAAAGTAAATGTACTCTGTATAGAGTGTAGCATAGCTGCAGGTTCTTTCAGAAGTGGACAACCCAGTCACATCATCCCTCAATTTTTCCCAACTGTTCCGGCTGGGTATAAATAATATATAAAAAATAGTGGAAGCACCGCAAAACATAATTTATTTTCCTGTGAGTGTTAGTACGATCAACACCTGGACTGTTAAAGTACTTGATCAAAACAACGATCCTATAAACTTTAGAAACGAGACCACACGTTTACACTTGCGCAAAATACGTAATGGGTATTAGATACAATATTCCACATTCGGTGCTTTCCAATCGAATCTATAAAAACTAGATTCGCAGAGTTTCTACTGTTAGTACTCCACCAACCAACATACCGACACCTCGTCCAAAGTATAGACGTTGTCTAACGATTGATAATTGTCAGTTTTTAAAGTCGTTTTGATTTCAATTGATCTAACATGAACATTTTGAACGTAACAGAACAGCCATTACTTGACACCTCGATTACTGAAATGGAGTATCACAAATATCAACCGTACATTAATGCTAATTTTGATTGTAATGATGAAATCCAAATTGCTATTCAAGAATTGGATACCTTCACTTTACCGTCCCAAAGCTATCTTTACCTTGAAGGAACACTCACCAAAGCTGATGGTTCTCCAGCTGAAAACATTAAATTTGTCAATAACGCATCTAGTTTTTTGTTCCGAGAAATTCGATATGAGTGGAATGGTGTTGTTGTTGATTCTGTTCGAAACGTCGGACTCACTTCAACATTGAAAGGTTATCTTTCTTACAATCAAAATGAGAGTACTAAATTACAAAATGGTGGTTGGTATCCCAAAGAATCGCACTTTTTCGTAACCGGTAAATTCAACGTATGCATTCCTCTAAGCATGTGGATGGGCTTTTTTGAAGACTACCGCATAATTGTATTGAATATGAAACAGGAATTAGTACTCATACGAAATAATGATGATATTGATGCAATTAAGGTCGATACCGCCAAAACACCCAAAAGTACTATTGAAAAAATACAGTGGCGAGTCCCTTATGTTTCCGTCGACATTCCTCAACAATTGGCTTTGACAAAACTTGTTAACAAAATATTGATATTCCACTGTACTTTCGGAGTTGAGTATCCCTCTCTTCCTGCTACGACTAGACATACGTGGCCAGTGAAAACAACTACGAAGCTAGAAACACCGAGGCATGTGATACTCGCTTTTCAGACAGATAAGAAAAACCAACTACAGTAAATATGTCTACGTTCGATCACTGCAAGCCAACCAATGTTCGAGTGTTTTTAAAGTCAGAACGATTTCCTTATAATGATCTCTATCTGGACTTCCTCAATAACAAATATGCTGCCTTGTATGACATATTTTCAAAATTTCGTCATTCATATTATGAATCCCAAAAAGAACAATTGTTTATCTCTGATAACTTTAAAAGTTTGGCACCTATCTCACATATCGACTGCTCTAAACAGAAGGAAAGTATTCAAACCGGTTCGGCTGTAATGAGAGTAGAATTTGAAAGAAGTGAAAATATACCGCCAAACACATCCGCTTATTGCCTTATTCTCCACACAACCCTTTGACAAAAATCGTTAAACAACGTTGAACTTATGAGTCTATAAAAACCTCATTTCCCACATTTCCTGATCAGTTTTATTATGAAGCTCATTTACTACAAAGCTCTTGAGCGATACGTCTCCAAACTTAAACAGTTAACACAAGACATTGAATCATATTGCTTGCAATAGTATGTTTTCCATCAGTTTGCTGTTTTGCGAATATGAATCTTGTTTTGGATGTGCAAGGATTCAAAATCGAACATAATAAATTTATTGTTAAAGAACTTGCTAGGTATGATGGACAACAAATATGTCACTACGTCTTCAAGCCCTACCTTTTGCACTGGATATGCTCCCACCGGACTTACAAGCACAAGCTACTTGGTTGATGCAGCATCATCACTGTATGAATTGGAACTCTCTCCACTACATACCTTTCCAAAAATTATGGATGACTTAACGAAGCATGCAGATCGAATTTTCGTCGAAGGAATCGAAAAAGCAAACTTGACACTGCATGTTTCTATCACTCCAAGCCTATCACCATGTGTGCACTATCCAACGTATTTTATTTGTATAAGAACTTTATCATTATTTTTTTAAATAAAACAATTATTAAAACATATTAGCTTTTTTTATTCAATGAAGGAAACAGCATGTAAATGGTTATCGATATGTATTTACAGGAATATTTACACAAATTACAGAACATCTTTTCATTTGTACAATCACACTGCATCGACATTGAATCGTTTGATTCTATTAATCGCGATTGCAATACGTGCACTCCAAACTTCACTATTTTAAGCGTGGGTTTTTCCCTTTTTTCTTTATATTACATTACAATTTTATTTTACAGTTAAAACTTACAAAACCTAACTTCATACTAATCTTATGCATATCACAGACATACCTTTACTTCACTAATTTACATTTTCAAACCTTTCTGTAAACACTTTTTGTCCAGAATCTTGTGTCACGTACTTTTTTAGCACTTCTTCGAATAGTTGCACTCGCCTTCGAAACCTACATCTATCTGTTACCTCCCAGTTACTTCTTCGTGCTTCTCTGTACGCATATTGCCATGCATACATGGTATATACTTTGTTTTTGGTTTCGTTGAAGGATACGGTCTTTGGAATTATATTGATATGGTCACCTGTATTGCACTTATTACTTTTGTTGGTGCACTCCTTGGCCGCCCCACTGCTTTTGTCTCCTGCCAACATTGTTTCCACCCTCTCCAACTCCGCTTCCGTCTGCTAACAATATATCCACTCTCTACACCTCTGCTTCCTTCACTGCTACTGCAGTTTGCGGATTCTAATTCTTTCCTGCAGCCTCCATCTCAGTCTCGCATTACGCGACATGCCTGGAGGTACATCCCTAATAAGGGGTCTATTTTCTACATTAGGGATGTAAGTTTCAGAAGGTGGATCATCATCCCAATTTTCTTCCGTTGGTACCTCCGGAACAGGGTTCCTGGGTCCATATCTTCGGAATCCATCCCGCCGAACCGGTGTAGTGTCCATGGGCGTCCTGGATCCCGTTTCAGAAGGTGGATCATCATCCTAATGTTCTTCCGTTGGTTCTTCCGGACCAGGGTTCCTGGGTCCATATCTTCGGAATCCATCCCGCCGAACCGGTGTAGTGTCGATGGGCGTCCTGGATCCCGTTTCAGAAGGTGGATCATCATCCTAAGGTTCTTCCGTTGGTTCTTCCGGAGCAGGGTTCCTGGGTCCATATCTTCGGAATCCATCCCGCCGAACCGGTGTAGCGTCCATGGGCGTCCTGATTCCCGTTTCAGAAGGTGGATCATCATCCCAATTTTCTTCCGTTGGCACTTCCGGAGCAGGGTTCCTGGGTCCATATCTTCGGATTCCATCCCGCCGAACCGGTGTAGTGTCCATGGGCATCCTGGATCCCGTCGGCTGGTGAGGTGGTGTGGTATCCATGAGCCATCGATCATCATCCCTATTTTCTTCTTCTTGAGGGGAAGACTTTATTTTAAACGGTCTTATCACCGCCACAGACTTTCCTTCCCACACCGTAGGCAACTCAAATTTCTGTAGACTCATTGCTTCTTACACACTGTTTGCTAACAACTAACTTCTCTCCGCGCGTTCCACAGTTTAAGCACATATTTCCAAGGTCATCCCTTCTACATCTCAAGGTCATTCACTCCTACAAGGTCACACCCACTCAAGGTCGAGAGTGCTCGAGGTCATATATGTTCAAGCTCACACTTCAAGGTCACTCGGAAACTTAAGGTCACATTCAAGGTCACACGTCAAGGTCACCTTTTAAGGTCATACTCCAAGGTCACTCGAAAGCTCAAGGTCACACTGCAAGGTCACTCGGAAACTCTACATCTCAAGGTCGTTTACTCCTACAAGGTCACACCCACTGAAGATCTAGAGTACTCGAGGACATATATGTTCAAGGTCACACTTCAACTTCACTCGGAAACTCAAGGTCGCATTTCAAGGTCACACTTCAAGGTCACATTTCAAGGTCACACATCAATGTCGCTCGGAAACTCAAGGTCACACTTCAAGGTCACTCGAAAACTCAAGGCCAAGTTTCAAGGTCGCATTTCAAGGTTGGCACCGAAGGTCAGCTCTCAAGGTCGTTTGGCACCGAAGGTCGGCGCTCAAGGGCGTCCCAGAACATACAAACCCTATCTACTCAGCATCATCCACTAAAAAATTTTGAATAACAAGGGGTATCGAGTAATAGCTTGTTTGAAAGGTCTTTCGGAATCCTTCATTCTGACATTTGATTTTTTTAATGGGTTGACTCGTTTTCAAGAAAATTAGAAAAACCTTTATTTATCTCAATTTGCTCAGATAGAAAACATAAAAATACACGGAAATATCACTTTTTATTGCAATAAGTGTTCAAAATGTTGCCCGTTATTGGCCAAGCGATGTTCAAATTCCTGAGAGACATTTTCAACAACACGTTGTGTGTTCATCCAACTTTCAGGTTTTGGAAGTAAACACAATAGACTTCAAATGGCCCCATAGAAAAAAGTCTAATGTCGTCAAGTCGGGAGCTCTAGCAGGCGATTCTATAGGCCCTATCCGCCCTATCCAGTTATCTGGAAACTCGTCGTCTAGCCATTGCCTAACCGGAAGAACATAGTGAGGAGGATGGAAATATATTTCAGCCTCATCAAGTATCGGGTTTCCATCCTCTTCGATTTGGTTGACAATGGTTTCAGTGATAAACGGATTGATGGTATTTTACAACATATCAAAATAAATGTCTCCGTTCAAATTTCCATTAAGAGACAATGGCCCAATCACTTTGTTTCCTAAAGTGCTTGCCCATACATTAATTTTGGGGGTACCGGGTATGCCCTTCTACAAAAGCATGAAGACTTTCATTGCTCCAATGCCTGCAATTATGCTTATTAACAAATCCATTTAGATAAAATGTGCATTCATCACTGAAACAGATATTCTTTACATGAATGGTATTATCATTATTCGCTCAGTCATTTGTTCACAAAACCCAACTCGCCTATCGGCATCATCTCTTTCAATATTTCCATTGTGAATGGATGAAATTTATAGAGCTTAGTAACTATGTGTATCGAGCCTAAAGAAATACCAGACGCAGCAACAGTTTTGCGTAATGATGTATAAGTATTTATTTAAAATGTTTAAGGAAATGTCCCTAGGGCCGAGGGTGAAAGGGGGTGAAGTTGTTTTTGGTTAAAAAGTTGTCCGCATTGACAAATCTTTTGTCGTGGCGTTATCTCTTTTAACCAGTGGTTTTTGATAAATCTGTAGCGGGTAGTTTTCAAATGAACACCCTGTATATACAAATTAGTGAGCTCGATAACCTTATTCAAGGAAGATAATAAAAGATTTATATTTATGAGTAATTATACCGGTATTTAATGAAAATCAAACAAAATCCTGAATACAAGATCCCTTGGATGAAGCAAAGGCACCGCGACTAAAGTAGAAGTGGAGTATTTTGGCAATACTGCGAGTTTATTGAGAAATCGAGATAGGATTCTGTATTCAAATAGTGATGGTGATGTATCATCAAAAAAATATACCTATTACATTGTTGTGATAAATATTGTCATAGTAGCATGGGTTGCGTCCTGTAATTCTATTATCTAAATGATGTAAACCTGTTCATAGAACAGTGTCTTCCACCACAGTATTACCACCCATACAAAAGCTTAGAAATAGCGTAAAATACTAACAAGTGGAGGTGTCTCCTTAAAAATGGTACTGCCGTACACCTAATCATTCCAGGTTTATAATAAGGAATGGAATATTTGCGATTTGTGCTCTGTGTTACATTTCATTCACTGAAAACCAAATACTTCTCACGTCGTAATGTGTATGAAAAAGAAGCGCGACAAGCGTACGATACGTGTGCTAGAAACAGATAGAAGAAGCCCGTTGCCTAACAAACCGAGTAAGAGGTCACGGAAGCCACTGGCGCACTCTTTCTAACATACATATCGTACGCTTATCGCGCTTCTTTCTCGTACACATTACGATGTCAGCCAAATTTGAATCTCACCGTATAATGAATGAGATGCTTTAAGATAGTATTGGAGCTTTATGCAGCATTTTATTTAATATACTGTTTACTGATTCGACATTATAGTCTAGGAGCAGGCAGGAGAACGAATCATAGCACAAGTGCCATCTATGACCAGATACCAGAATCGACCTCTGCGATAGTGAAAATCCGCTTTCTATACTGAGTGGCTACTGTAACCGCTTGATGCCATCAATTCTGGTTAAAGATGCGTGCTGAAATACATTTACGACTCCAACAGATAGCTGCTGTTCGCTCTGGTTGTGGTGGGTTCTGGTATCTGACAATAGAATTCCTATCTATCTCTGATAGAGAAAACTTTGCTCTGCTTCTGCTTCTTGTCCTAACTAGACTAGAAACCTAGACAGTGATAATGATTGCTACCAACCAACAGCAGTACGGGGTGTCCGGCTATAAATTGTGGTGTTTTTTGTATACAGAGTATCTCAGAAAATTGCTATCGAATAAACTTGTATTTTTCTAAACATATATTTTCATTAAAAATGACAGTCCCTTTATTCTGATATATATATATATATATATTGTTGAACCTATTTTGATTACTTCAGTCAAAAACTTGATGTTTGTGTGCCATTTAATCACATGTATTCCGGTCTATACCAGATTACATAGGCGAACTATATAGTTGGAACTCGTATACACATGAGTAAATATCACACAAACTTTAAATTTTTGGCCGAACTAATAAAAATAACTATGATAAACCATACATATTTTGAATCAGAAAAAAATTACTATAATTTTCCATGAAAGTATACATTCAAGAAAGCGAAAATTTATTCAAAAGTACTTTTACATGACAAAATGTATTAGGTCAAAAACTTCATATCCGACTCAATAAGTTTTATATACAACTCTTTTTTCTGGAAGGTCATATGAAAAAGCTAGAGGGGGAGTCAACTTCTAACCGTTATTTATCACCATACATGGTCGGACGGACGAAAGCAGTATTATTGTTGAACACCGTGGCTTGTGAACTAGTAGACTAGATAGGCAAAGGTCCCTACACTGTAACTACAATATGCCCCAAACAAACTTTATTAGTGCCATCTAAATCATCAACATCAAAATCTTTAATAAATTACATAAACATCTCTATAATAACAAAATGACTATCTGGTGAGCCATTAGGCTTCGGCAGGTTTCTGTTGGAATGCAGCTGCTGATGGGAGCGATGTAGCATGGCTAGTGGCAATGCCCTTCCTACCAGTGGCTAGGGAGTTAGCTACAGCATGGTAGGAGCTGAAACCATCGGAGCTACGAGCTCTGCTGCTACTGAAGTGGATGGGGAAGAAGACGTTGTACGAGGCGGCGCCTGCAATATATCAAATTTCGATTAAGTGCTGCAACGTTTCTGATTATTTAAGTAGTATTTCCTAATCAACGACTTCCGGGAATAAATGCCAAATTAAAATGTCTTGTCTGCCTCGTTGAGGATATATAGAGAAATGTATACATGATCATAGGGTGATGCTTTGGACAAGTAAATTGCCAAATACTCGGTAGAGATTAACTTTTTGTAGAACGCTTGGTTTGGTTTATGAACACAAACCACAAAGTCTATCTTGGGTTCACACAAAAAAGGGTGCTCCTGGTTCAGGAGTTATTGAGTTGATATATTTCCTTCAATTTTGGTGTATTTCTTAATTGCAACAGCTATATTTCTTTGGAGCAATGAAATTACCTCAGTTCAAATATCTGTGATCTCGGATCAGTGTGATAGTTTCATAAGAATCTGTGCTCTTGTATCAAAGGACCTGTTTATAGCAGAACATTCTTTGTGTAACCCTAGAATGTCATAACAAAGCAATACCATGATCTATACATACCTTTTTTTCCTGCAAACCCAAAAGGCGAAAAGCTGTCGCTGTCATCGTCATCGTCGTCATCGTCGTATTCATCAGCAGCTGGAGCTGCAATTTAAAAAGTTTCAGACAAATGGCCATTAGGATTAGCGATGATTAAACATTGATATCAGATCAGAATTTTTCCATACTTTCTTAGTATATCAATCACCATCAAGTCAATCTTTCAAGAATCACCTTAGTTGTTATGGGTAGGACTAAGCATTTTGCAAATTAAAGTAAACAATTGACGATTATATAGAGAATAAGTATTTTGATTTTTTTCTGTGCTCTGCTATAATGCAGGATAAAGCAGTTTCCGTAATGTGTTGCCACTAAGTCCATCCGCAAACATCAAAGTCGATGCAATGGTCAATAAGCTTATATCCAGACTCCGACAGATAGATTAATAGGCCAAAAGAGTACGTTTTTTTGAATGAACTTTATCATCGGAGGAAAATAATCAATCAGATTTGGATATATCTGTTGTTACATTAATTTAATTAGCTGGAAGTGAGAAATGGAAATAATCATAAATAAATACCAGCTGGGGCAGGTGGAGCTTCAGGTGCAGCCACTGCTGCATCCAGATTATCAGCAGATTCCGCATTCCCAAAGTCTTCAGCAGGGATCAAGCCAGCTTGCTCGCCTTGAGGTATCTCATTAGCTAATTCTGAAAATAAAAACAATTGACTAACAGAAAGTATACGGATTACATCACTAGTTACACAAGCTAAGAGTTTGCAGTAGCTAATCATATCCCCTAATCGTAAAAAACAACCATTGCTTTTCTGAAACGCTTCCGATTACTAATACTGAAATTCATTTCAATTGTTTTGCTTTAAGTCGTTTTCTCTACGTGTTTACTACTTATCCGAAACGTCGAGAGCTTAATGATTTTTGTAATAAATGATAACACTCTTCTACCATTATGGTGAATACCTACCGAAAGCTGATGTTCCCCATAACTGACAACAAATACCAAGAAAAATATCTACTAGAGATTTAAAAGTGTAGTAAATCAAAAATTGATTAGGTTTTATCAAGCTTTGTTATCTATAAAACTATTCATACCATCTTGAGGGGCTCCAAATACTCCTGTAACTGCAAGAAGGGCGAACAAGCACAAGGAATACATTATTGTTATTGTAGTATAGTCTTGCAGTCTTAACTATACAATACAAGTATAAGCTTACATTTTTATACCTAAAAATGCACCCCCACCCAACCGCATCTCTTAAATTTGAATACTATGAATAAAGATGGAGACGTTCGGAGATTTTTAATGTGATCTAGTTTGAACGTATATGACATTTTTGTTCGATAAACCTTCGCTTCAAGGTGGATTAATGCTGCTTGGCGTAGTAATCAGTTTGACGGTGTAAAAATGCAAACAGATATTCAATAAAGGCATACTACGGCATAATCTATACATTAACTGGATTCTATTAACGAGCAGAATATTACAATAATGTAGTGATTCTGCCCAGCTAGTTCTACGAAATAGAACACATTTACAGATTTGTACCTAATGACCGGTGCTACTCTGAATGGGTCACAGGATGTAGTAGCAGAACAATAGGGGTTGGAAGGTTGAACTCTTTCACGAAAAGCTCTTACTGATTAGCACAAGCCTTCTATTCTCAATGGCCTAAACTAGACTAGTAGGTTCAATTGCTGTATGGTCCCAGAATTGATGAACGCTTGAGCTGACAGAAAAAGAAATATGTTTAGTCAGAGAGCAATTCATAGCAAATTTGTTCCTAATCAGTAAGTACCAACTTAACATCATTTCTTATTGTTATTATTATACAGCAAGATGACTCAACGCGGAAGAAATGTGAAGAAGTTCTTATTTCAGCAGTTTAACTCTTGATCAGAATAAGCCCACACATAGCAGCGTCAATATGTTGTCCATATAGTGTCCGATTTAGTTAATTTATGCGCAACTGCTATATTGTTAGAGAAAAGCGATTTTCAAGGAGTCTGAAAAGTAGGTCAAAGTATGTTTTGAAGCCATACACCGTTCACGTTGTGACGTCAAGAGTCATTACTTTACACATTCATACATTGTAGCAAGCTATTATTAAAAAATTATTTCCAAGAACCTTACATACCCATGATTTAAAGGTATGCGCCAAACAAATTTCTGATATGTCAAACATCAACTAATGCTTTATTCCTAGACCAGCATATTTAAAACATGCATAGTTTTTAGTTTCTTAGCAACAAAAGTCGTAGACGTATGCCTTATTTCCTGCCCCCTGCCTCTTTCCATCTCACCTTATTCTGAAGGTCTACTTCTATAAGTCTTTCCCGTTACCCTTTTGAAAAACAAAATGATGGCCGTTTTTATAGATAAAAACCAGCATTTTTTACGAAAAAAAGAAACGAAAACTATTTTACAGGGTAAATATGAGGATGTTGAAAAATGTCTGTAACATCATAACA